AAAATTGCAGCTCTTTAGCTAGATTTCATTGATCAATTGTGGTTTTGAGTCACATTGACATACATCCACCATGCCTTGACATGCCGATTACAAAGCTTCTCTTCATTTCCACTTATATCTGCAACCATCTTCTCTAGTTTTTCCTCAACCATATTCAACTAAATATTTTTTTTGATCTTACTGATCTATATTCACCATTTTGTGAGATACTTTCATTTACATTGAGATTCCCAAGTTGATGATCAGATATTTCTATCATCTCAATAAAGCCAAGCATTTTTATACTGACTTCTTAAATATCAACTTTTGATTTACATATCCCAGGTAACACCATTCATTTTTCAGGACCATTTCTTTACTTCTCCCATTATTATACAAGATAATATTTTAATAACTTTTTTTCTACTTCTTTTTTAAAACACCAATCAAAACCACTACCAATTACGACAACAAATTTGACCATTTTACTACATAAAAAGAACAGGAAAAGATTTGTTATTAACAAAGTCAAGCCCATATTGGGTACATGACATTCACTTACCACCCCCAAATTTGGTGAAACCTCCTCTACCACCACTGTAATACATTGGTAAACATGAGAATTACTGACATAACATATCTCCCTACATCATAGCACATGATCACTTCTCACTAACTTTATGTTACAAAAATGTGTTCCTTACAAAATGAAATACTCATCACATTTTTCTCTTTCTATGCTGTACTTCAAACAGACACCGGTAAGATTGGAGACAACATGCTGTGCTTTGCTTACTTAAGTTTAGCATATGCTGCACACATAGTTAGAAACCAGTTGTTTTCCTAAAGTAACTTCAAAACTTTTGAAAAAGTTACGACTAAATTTTTGTAAAAAATAAAATAAAATAATGAGTGGAGAACGACAAACATTAGATTTACTATCACTGACGTAACTGTTAAACAAAAAGCGTACTTCAAGCTAGTATAGTCTTCCCTTTACTGTTAGTGTCCTAATATAATACAAGATGGATATATTAGGAACTGATAACTAGATTGATTTAAGTTTTGTGATCTGACCTACAAAACTGCCAAAAAAATCTAACAGTTAACCTAAATGAAATTACCGTAGTCAGGGGGGATCTTGTGCAATTTTCACATGCATTGGCGAACAACGTAATCTTATAGCTAGTTCCATCTTTTAAGTAGCAAATAAAATGTGAAAACAAATTAAGGGAAATACAATTCCGGAAAATACACAATTTACATATGTATGTATAAAATGAATAATTATGTGAGAAGTCATGTAGTATGACGAAGGAGATGATGTATAATGTACAGTAATATAGAGTAAGGCCACATGTAGCTGCTGTCCCGTTTCTTCTTGTGGCAAACACATATTTCTACCAGGAGTGTAGTGAGTAGAGGTACAATTATTCTAAACTCCCCCAACAATACTTCCAGGCTGCTAGACCATGCCAGCTTCCAACAAAATCAACCCATTTCTTTACTGTATTGTTTTTTTTTTTTTTTATATCTTTTTAAATCTCCACTTTACACCATTTTTTACAATTTTCATTATACCCATTTTCTAATGTTTTAAAAGTCTTATAACCTCTGATACAGTTTTTTAGGTACCTTATTTTTGACTCAAGGTCACCCCTAGTGGCTCTGGTACTATCAGGTTTTAAGATACTCATTAAAATCCTCTTAACACTAATGGTAGGTTTATAACACTAGTATATTGTCAAGTTTGTTGGCACAATATATTGTCTGACAAGAACCTATTCTGTCAGCTAATTTATATAATTACAAAATATGCTTGATACCCTTTAACAATGGGCCATTTTAATACTTGAAGTATATGTATATTCAAATTCAACATGGTCAAAGATTTTTTTTTTCAAATCACATAAAAATCATGTTAAAATAAACTTGATTTATAACTAAAATTTTAAACAAGATCTCAATTGTTTTTGGAACAGTTTAGTTTATAAACTTTTTCATTAACAAACAACTTTATTCTATTTACTAATACAAAAACCTAAAGGTAGTTATAACTAAAGGTAGTTATAACATATCAAATTAACAATGAATTCATTCTCTCACAGATGTTTTTTATGAACCTGTTATAATTCACAATAAAGTAAACATTATATACAGAAGCTGGGTACACCAATATAGTTTACACAATGATAAAACCCTTTTGCCTGAAGACCAGAGCCACATGATTTTATACCATACATATAACTTCATTATTGTCCTTAATTAACACATGCAATTTGTGTCTGTAATACCTCAATATTTTATATACCTTAACCTAAGGACTCACTGGACAGTTGTGTATACCTTTTACTTTATACCAGTTTAGCTTGCTTATTTTTTGACACAATATATATATGGGCACCAAAGGGCAAATACCATTTACACAAATTTACATTTCTTGCTAGAATTTTAAGATAAATCTTAAGTGAACATATACCATGTTTCATTACTACACACAGAAACAACTTTAATACAAGATCAGATTTTTATCATATATTTCTCTGAACCAGCATGGATCTAGGTCAATGGCTTAATTTATGAACTTCCAGAAAAACTATTATCAGTTTCTTTTCGACACAATTGACTATAAACCACCTTGAATTTACAAAGAAAAGTTTAGTTTTTAAGTTTATATTTTCAATTTACTTAATCCCTTAATAAAACTGCTGGATTCGAGTCACATATTTGCCAATCTTTGAATCCAGAACTCTCCATTCCCAATTTAAGGGTATAAGGTACCCAAATACAAAGACTCGAGCTACATTCAGTATAGTGACTGGCCAGACTGCAGGCCTGGCTTTATTCTGGTGGAAATGATCACTCTCCATTCCAGCAAGTCAAGGGTTAAATATTAATTGCCTTTTGTATAACATGAGGACACTTCCCTTTATACTTCAAATAACATGTTAAATGTGGTATGTTACATTTATATCTCTGATACAGGACAATGAAAAACACAACCAATGAGCATATTTACTCAACAATTACCAGGCTAAATATTTTAAATGGAGCTATCTTTCATTCTAGATAAAACCATACATAATTTTCAAGAAAATTTCAAGCAAGTATTAAATAGCATCAAGTGCAGACCATGATAAGAAGTGCCCCTGATCTTGGTCATCACATGGGTATTTTCTGTTGTGGCCAACAAGTTTATGGGTGATGATTTAATACAGAAAAGGCAACCATCTGTTTAGCTAGTTCAATGCTCTTTTTACCATGATGAAACTGCAACTTATCATTTTATCCCAGTGTGTTATACCAAGTATAATATATAAATATTAAAGCAACTGGTTAAGAGTTAGTTCAAAATCATAACTTTCTTACCAACTGATTTATATGTTACACTTGAGGTGTACTGGAATCAACCTAGGTCTACATACTCTTCATGACTTTCTATGTGTTTAATTTTCTTTTATAATTGTTGTCAATTAAATATTGTATAATACTAACAACACTTGAGCATTTGCTACAAGTATGACCAGCATAGAGCTACAAAGACCCAGTCACTACTCTCTAAGATCCAGCAAAATTGCCAACCACTGCAACATTTTTGCCAGCTACTTTTTACCACCAAGTCAATAGCAAGAGCTTTAATGGTGGCTTTTCTCAATTTTGGCTGACTAAAAAATTTTTTATTTAGAGCACTGCAGGCATTGTACTTCCACCTGTGTAATATTTACATTTTCTTTTATTTACACATTCCATCTGACTTATATTATTGGTTTAAATCAATTTGAAAAAAAAACTCCAACTAATTATTATCTTAAGTTTTTTTAAATAATAATATAACACTTTTATTCCAATTGGAAATTCACTAAATATTTTACACTAATTTTGTGTATTTTTTTTTTAATTAAATATGTTTGCAATGAAAACTTCTTAATTAAGCTATTTTACCTGAAATCAACAATAATTTTAGCAGAGAACTTTAAAACCGTTTATTCACTTTGTTTTTTAAATAATTTCTTACATACTTGTATAAAGCCTATAAAACACTTATCAAGTGTGTTTCTGTTATTTATTGGTCTAGATATAGAATATTTGTATACACATAAATAATCTTTTTGTTCAAAGTAGGTACCATAATACAGGGCAGTTATTTACACTTTCTTCTCATTCATTAAGTATTGATTTCACGATATCAACTGTTGATCATGACAACTTTTAATCGTGCCTCTAGGCAAACCCTAAATAAATTTAAATCTAAGGCTGTTTAATTTATTCAACTATGTCCAGTGAGTCCAAAGTACAAATTACACCATTTTCATGAAATTTCAATCTGTTATCATTACCCCTTTAGTATAAAATACACCAATGACCATATGTAGGTCACTTAGGTAGGTTTTGTAACCTCATTACTCTTAGACCTGTCAGAAATAAAAGACTAAAAACACAGGGGTTAACATAGTATGGCATGTAGTGAAAACATGAAAAAAACTTGAAACTTTACATGCACATCCATTTCTTTTTTTTTACATTTTCTACCATTTCTATCATAAAACCAATGTTAAATTAATACTGGATGTTTTAAAAAATGTACCAATTTGCTTCAATTGCATTTTAATCTTTTTTCCTGGGGCAAATCACTTGGAAACCATGTACTTTTTTTGTAACTCAAACCTCTTTTACAACCTATCTCATAAAGCTATTTACCTTGCTTCAACCTTTTTTAAAGAAGTATATTTCTTTGTAAATGACTGTTAAAGCTTTGATTAAATTTTTGAATGAGGAATGAAAGAAAGAAAAATCAAGTTAAAAATGTAAAGAAGATCTTACCCTCCTCCTCCACCACTTCCATAACTGCCACGCCCACCATTATCACTGTCTCTACCACCTCCTGTAAATAAATCATATTTTCAGTTTGAATTATCATCATATAGAAAAGAACCTGTATAATCTCCTTAAATAACAACAGTTACAACATCAATGAGAAATGAAAGTTTAAACTCAAATATATGAGTTAGTGCACAAATAATAACAAGCAAATTTATATTTACAATTTCAAAAACAACATGTCAAATAATTTGAGTGGATATATCATATGCCTAAAACTAGAAATTAAACTCTAAAAGGTCTAACCTCCATATCCCCCACCACCTCCACGACCACCGCCAGAGCTACTACCATAGCTACCAGATCCACCACCACTACCGTAACCGCCACTCTGTCCACCGTACCCTCCCGATTGTCCTTGACTTCCATAACTTCCTCCTCCTGAGGCTGAACCTCCATAACTACCGGCACTGCCTCCGCCACCTGCTGGTTGGTCATAGCTACTCTGTTGTCCACCTCCGTATGATCCCTGGGACTGCTGACCACCTGCACTTTGTCCATAGCCACCTACAAAAACATCAATCATTGGGTACTCGTTATCTACACAATAAACTATATAGCCATTCAATGCCCCCTTTGATTGATAATGTCTCCCGAGTTGTGTCTATTATAGAGATGAACTGATGAAGTCTACAAAACCTACAACATGCTAACAATGTGGGTGTAAATTATATTCATTCTTAACCCTTAACCTGCTGAATTACTTAAATGGACTTGTCCATCTCCTATTTTTGAAATGGTTCCTTTTTCATTTTGGATATATAAAAATTTTAAGTTGGTCATCCAATAGTATAGAGCCTGGTCAAACTGAACAAATGTACAGACTGGCCAGGTTTATACTAATAGAAAAGGCTAATAACTTTCGGTTCCAGCAGGGTATGGGTTAAATTATTCAACCTAGATGACTGTGTCAAAATGAATCCTAAAACATGCATTTTTACGATAAATTAAAATGCTTCATTCTTAATCATTAAAATAAGACTTGTGCACAAAAAAAATAAAAATATTTGTACATAACTTTCAAGCTTACATAAAAGCATAATATCTTGATTACAAATGGTTTACATATGTTGCACATTTTATCAAGTATATATAAAGAGCAAACTTTCAGTCTAAAATATTCAAAATGTAAATAGTAAACATTAGATGATCAATATTTTGCTACTATGAGAAGCTCTGTAACATCTACAGATAGGAGTCTATTAAAAACAGATCTACAGGTTAGTAAGGCCATTCAATGTTACACCCACGTAAACACAGTCATACTTTAAAGATTCTCACTGCAGCTTTCAGTTATGTTCTCTTTTTTTCTATATGGTATCAATATTATTGCTGACTTAAATAACTGATACTGGAAAACAGCACCTTTCCGAACAGAAAAAGACAGGAAATTTCCAAATTTCTCACAAATTTCTGAAAATTACAAAAAATCAGTAAATTACCGGCACTATTTCCAAAGCAGGTGAATAAAATAAAAACGCTGAGTAGGAAGGATTCTGTTGACCTAATCACTCCTGTTTTTATTGTACTATTACCTGGTATATTAGATAAACAGAAGGATGTATTTTAAATTGCAATTGCCAGGGCATTTCTAATATAACAAAGAATGTATGACTGTATTTACTGTACCAAAACACCACTGAAACATAAGAAAGACAGTAATACATAGTGCATTGAAATATACCTTGAGACTGTTGTTGGCCATAACCCTGGGATGACTGCTGTTGGCCATATCCGCTTTGATCATACGAACCATATGAACTGTACGCCTGTGCACCAGTCTGGCCTAGAAATTCAGCACTTAAATTCTTAAGATCTTAGAAAGAAACTGGTTTGTGTTGTTACGTTTTTCCAGTCAAACATTACATTCCTATTTCTATAAAAACTTTTTACAGTGTTCAATGAGACATAATTAAGAAAACCTACAAAGTTGAACATAAAAAAGTTTACCAAAAATTTATAAAAAAAATTTTAAGCCAATAACTTGATTAAAATAAAATAATTTAAATATGGCTACTTACAATGGGCATTTCCCCAAAGACAAAAATCAACAGCTGCAGTAAAAAAACAAAACTCCAAGAAGGAAAAAAAATCTTCAAAATGACTTTAAACAGACTGGGCACTCCTTTCAACATCCTTCGTCTTCACCCTTGATCCTGGTAGTTAATACAGAATATATATACATATATTCATCTAGCTTCTAACAGTTTCCTATAAAAGTTATGAGAGACTAACCTTGTGCCTGCTGGCCATACTGACTCTGTGGTGCAGCTTGTCCCTGACTTCCCTGTTGCTGGTAAGCAGAGGTATCATACCCTGCATATCCAGCTACCTGTTGTGTCTGACCACCATAGCCTCCTGCGGACGCTGTCTGACCAGCCTGTAAAACATGTGCATGTCTCTAATCACTATAATACATATAGCCTTTTATTCTCTCTAAAATTATGTTTTTAAGCGTTTAGATTAAATTGAGTTTTTAAAGAACTAGTTTTCTTGCTGCTTTGACATAATTTGCTGCACTTAAATATAACCATAACAGCTTTAAAAAATGTATATTTACTTTTAAAAGTTAAATGGTCAACTAACAAGAAATCATTTCAACAAAAATTTCATTTTTTAAAGGGAAAAATATTCAAACCATTGTTTGAGCCAGTTCCCTGGAATTAAACTGAAACTCATTTCTTGTGTTAAAATATATATATATGTCAGTTACATACCGGCGCTGAGCCATATGCAGCCCCACCTTGCTGTCCATATGCAGAGGAATCTTGAGTAGTTCCATAAGCACCTGCGTAGTTATATCTGGAGAAAAAAATATGTATTTTATAATAAACACTAGAAGAACTCAACAGCCAAAACTGAAAGAGAAAAAAAAATCTATTAAATATTTTTAATAAATAGTGCAATCTGAATCATATGGCAAAGTAGCATGAGATAAGCAATTTCAGATATTTAAATAGTGTCAGGACTATATACATTGCCAAATCAGTGTTTTTTTTCCTCTCCATTTTTTTCTTTTTTTGAAGGGCCCTTTAACTTGGAAATAAGCACTGCAATGCCATTGTGAATATAGTCAGATATCTTTGTGTTAACATTTAGCAACTAAATTGGGAAAAGGTTAATCTATGTGTTGGAAAATGCCCATTTTATCACAGAAATGATTTTATTTTTATTTCACAAAAGCTTTTCATTTTTGGTGTACTTATACAGTTTCCACTTTCCAGAAAGTAACACATTGGCCAAATAAAACAAAAACTAGAAATGTGTCCATAGGACATGGGTGCCCCCACACTCCACCAATTTGTCAATCTTATGTCTCTAGGTCAAATTTTTTTTTGGCTACATGTGCCCAAGTTGAATACTAAAAATCTTTTTTTAAGTAAAGGGCAAATACTACAAATACTGAATAAAGCCACAAGAAAACCCCAAGGTGCATAAGTACACATGCTGACCAACATTCTTGTAAACTTTCAGGCCTACAGGTCATAAACTTTTTATGTTACGTGCAACACAAGTTAAATATTGTAAATTTTTACTATGTCAAGGGCAATAACTCTAAAAATACTAAAAATATCCACCGAAAATACCCAGATGCACAACAACACATGCTGAGCAACATTCCTGTAAGGTTTCATGACTATAGGTCAAATACTTTTTTAGTTACGTGTGACACAAGTTGAAAATTGGAAATTTTTTACTAATTCAAGGGCAATAACTCTAAAAATAATAAATATATCCACATGAAAATACCCAGGACCACAACTACACATGCTGATCAACAGTCTTGTTAGTTTCATGACTCTAGGTAAAATATTTTTTGAGTTACGTGCGACACAAGTTGAAAATTGTAAATTTTTAGTAAGTCAAGGGCAATAACTCTAAAAATACTAAAAATATCCACACGAAAATACCAAGGTGCACAACTACACATGCTGACCAACATTCTTGTAAGGTTTCATGACTCTAGGTCATATACTTTTAGTTATGTGCTACACAAATTGAAAATTGGAAATTTTTACTAAGTCAAGGACAATAACTCTAAAAATACTAAAAATATCCACACGAAATACCCAGGTGCACAACTACACATGCTGATCAACATTCTTGTAAGGTTTCATGACTCTAGGTCAAATATTTTTTGAGTTACATGCGACACAAGTTGAAAATTGCAAATTTTTACCAATTCAAGGGCAATAACTCTAAAAAAACTATATATATCCACACGAAAATACCCAGGTGCACAACTTCACATGCTGATCAACATTACTGTAAGGTTTCATGACTCTAGGTCAATTACTTTTTGTTTGTTTTGGGTTTTACGTCACATCGACACAGTATAGGTCATATCGCGACGTTCCAGCTTTACTGGTGGAGGAAGACCTCAGGTGCCCTTCTGTGCATTATTTCAGGCACGAACAGGCACCTGAGTAGAACCACCGACGTTCCGTAAGCTAGCTGGATAGCTTCCTCACATGAAAGAATCCAAAGTCCCTGTCGGGATTCCAACCCACAGCGGTGAGGGGCAAGTGATTTGAAGTCAACGACCTTAACCACTCGGCCACAGACTCCCCAATTACTTTTTGAGCTATGTGCGACACAAAAAGGGAACGGACGGAAGGACGGACAAGGGTAAATCTAAATGCCCCCCTATAGTGGGGGCACAATAAAGTCTCACAGTTTGTTGTCTCTGTTCCTCATGTTTTGAAGTGATCAACAATTGTATCACTAACTACAATTTAATAATTGTGAATTTTCAATGAACAATTTTGAAAAAAGATACTTTTTGGCTTTGAGAATGCATGAAATAAAGATTGAATCATCAAAATGTTGCAAGTTGAAGATGAAATGTAAACTTACCCTGCTTGTCCACTTGTTTGATACTGTGCAGCATATTCTGTAAAAAAAAGAATTTTTTTATTATATTCATTAGAGCTGTCATTGATTCAGTGCAAAGCATATCAACGATATATCGATATCAGATGACTAAAATCAACGATACACCGATATATCGATAATAACCTATAATTACTTGTCTGTCATTCACTTTCATACCTGTTTAAATTATTTCAGTTAAAAACATGTTCTGTACAGTGTATTGTCCACTGCATTTTTTTTCCAGACAATATTTTTTGTCACCATTGCTATGAAATATTTCCACTATATAACAAAAGCATAACATTAGACATAAATAACTGTTCTGTATATGTTTTGGGTGATTTTTTTATAATTTCTAGACATTTAATTAATTAGTCAAAAGTATCGATTTTTTGAAATGTGTATCGATTATTGATCGGCAAAAAAATATCAACGATACATCGATATTGTCTCTATCGATGACAGCTCTAATATTCATACAGTGTAGTAATACATATTCATTATTAGGCACAGCAGTGTTTTTTTTTCACTTTTGGGGGAAGGGGGTTGGTGTCCATTGGAGGAGGAAAAATGCAATAGGAGGGGGAATTTTATTTGTTTATTTATTTTATATTGTTTTCTTTCCGGTAGAAAAGGGGAGCAACTCTTGCAACAAAAGTTTAAAATATGTCACTGTTTCTTAATATACGGATATAAAATATCGATGTGTTGCATGTTTAACATGTTGGGACGCCGAGAGTAGCTCCCCTTACATTTTACCCGAGAACAATTTGTTAACAACCTTGCTCAACAGTAAGTCTAACAAGCATAAAATAAAACATTTTTTGGCAGTTGCAATAAAATGATATTCATTGCAGGCAAATTCGGGCTGTTGTATAGGGGGAAATTTAAATTTCAGCTTTGACGGGGGGGGGGGGGGGGGGGGGGGGGGGGGGGGGGGGGGGGGGGGGGGGACATAATATTTTGAGGGGGGAATGGGGCCTAATATTTTGGTGAATAAAAAAAACCTGCACTGCACAGGCTGTCTGCGCCTGTAAAACAAACCTGTTTGCCCAGGGCAGGGTTCGAATTTAAGCTGGCATACTGGCAAAATGCCAGTTAAAATCTAATAATGCCAGTAAAAATTACTCTAGCTGGCATTTAATTGCAAGTTACTGTTCATTTAGGACGTTTACATAATTGTTATCTTCTGAGCTGATGATGATGCTTGGCAACTGCCCGCTGCAGAAACTGATGATGTTTACTGTGCCAGATGCAGTAACTGATGATGTTTACTGTAACAACTTAAAAATCAATTTTTTTGGTTGCTCTACTGCAGTATTTATTTTTTTCTGTGACTATATTGTGATGGACTATTTATAACAGCCAAACATATGTTGTTTTATCAGTGTCCAATGTAAATGTGTAGCACTCCTCTGTAAAGTGTTTACTTTTAAGCTGAAATATTTATTTAAGAAGATCAGTACCTCTGAGTTTTCAGGATGTTGGTGAAATCAAGTACAAAATATAATAAAATTAATAAAGGTCCTAAGAAATAACATTACATGAACAAGTTTATAACTGTACATTGTCATTGGTGGGTGTTCCTCTGGTATACCTAATCTGGTCCGTAAACAATTGTTTATCATTTATAAATTAATGTGTTAAATTGTTCTTGTTTCGTTACAAGAAGAGATGTGTTTATTAGTGATAAAGGTGTTTCTGATATTCAATAGACATTCGAGCTTATTATCATTTGTCATACCATATGTTCAAAATACATTGTCATTGTGTATTATGATAATAATAATAAGATATGTGATCATGGAAATGCCGGTTGACTACATCATATTGCCAGTTACTCATATGATCACTTGCAAAAATCTGCAAGTAGAAATTACTGCTAAATTCTAACCCTGCAGGGTTTTGTTGCAGGAAGGTAGGGCAATCATTAAATACTGAATTATCAATCGTTGTAGCACCCAATCTGATTGGACAATAGATGCCAGGCACCAAATATTGAAGCTGCTCGTCCAATCAGATCGTGTGTTACAAAGCATGCATCAGAGTCCAAGATGTCTGTGACAAATAAAAATTACCGTGAAACAAAAACTCATTGATAGATTATTGATATTCATTGGACTTGAATTAGGTAAACTGTGGAATTCTAGTTCTTTTTATTGATGTTAATGAATGATGCAGCGATAAGCAGCCAGAATGTCTTCTCCACAAGTTTTGTATTAAATATATAACAAGCTAAAAATTATATTTAATCAGATAATAAGTTATAAATATATTATATTTTATGATCCAATCAAGCAAAAAAGCTAAATAAACTTTAACAATTATAATATACAAACTTAGTAGTGAGACAAAGTAAAATCCCATTTAAGTTTTAATATTTATTTTTATTAAATTTAAGGTAGCATGGGACTCCCTTGTATCGGCGTACTTAACTTTTCCCATATGTCTGCATTGAATTTCATTGATGAATTTAATGATCAATATTCTGTGTAAAGCAGTACACATTCAACTAATCATTTCATTTTTAATTGAATGAGGTAAAAGATTTTTAACTTCAATGTAAGCATGACCCAAATAACATAATACTGAGAGAACGTCGGTAAAAGAGTTGCGCCGATAATACAGAGTTAGAGTATATATTTTAGAATATCACAAGTATCAGAATAATTTGAGCAAAAAAAGAAGTGAAATGTCTTGGTGTGAACTGTCTTGGTGAGAACTGTCTCATTAGTGAAACGTCTGTCTACCCCGTGGATCAGGCTGCACATTTTTCTCACCCTGCTGGCTGCAGTAATTGAATTTACTGGCCAGAATTTCAGTTTTGAATTTATTCTATTATATTTTCAACTAAATTTTCTTCAGATCTACACTGGTCCGAATTAATTTTCACTGACCATGGGCCTCCGGGCCAGTGCTATAAAACTATTCGATGACCGACCTTGTGACAATAGGAATCCAGTTGGTGTCTGGACTTTACACCTCCTGGATGTCTCTGAAATCATCCGATTGTCGATCATTCACTATTTTGCAAAAGTGGCACCACCTATACACATGACAGATTTAACTTATTTTCATTGATTGTGATCGAGTGTGAAACTTTATGTCCAACAATAATTTTATACCATAGGGGAGTGATTCATGTGATTTTCATTGTTAAAAATTAACGAAAACACATTGACATGAATGGCCAGCTGACATGTTTTATTCGGCTATTTTCAATCTTAACTAATTTTAACGACATTTTGATTCGATAAACGGGAACCCGGGCATTTATGAGTAATGTATTTTAATCTTTTAAAACAAATCGCTATGGGCGAAGGCGAACAAAGTCCGGGTCGCCATAAAATTGATCACTATCACACAGAGAAATCAATTACTTCAAGAAAACATTATTAATCTAAAATATTATTTTATTTGCCAGATGTTTAAACTTCAAATACTTTCAGAAATACGTCTTAACTTATGAATTTTTTAAATAAAACTAATGGAAAATAACCCACGTTGGTCTGCCATTTTGTTCTTCGTCGTCTCCTATTAATCACGTGACCAGAAAGACGCGGGCGTTCAATAATCAGGTATAGACCACTAAATTTTCTCTACCGAGTAGTTAGTTCATATGATTTCGGGACTTTTCACTTTGTTTCGGCGTCAAAACCTTCTAGTCTTTTCGACATCTTTTACAAATTTGTAAAGATGATATGTTTTTTTCTCTGTTTCTTTGTTAATTTGCTCCAATAACAATATCTTTAAACAAACAGACACTAAAATTTTGCAAGCACCGTCTAATAACAGAAATTTTGTTTAAAAAGGGAATAAACGAGGTAGGCCTATTCAACGCGAAATGTGTTAATCACATTCCACTGATTAAAATTCACATATTTCTATAGGCTTATAATGATTTTGCATAGTTAATGATAATACATACAATCAAGACACAATTTTATCTATATAATGAGACAAAACATTATACACAACCAACCAAAAAGTAAATCCCGTTTAAATTAATACATTTTCAAATACAACAATGAACATCAACACGTAAAACATTTTCACATAATTAAGTTACAAAGCAATTCAGTAACGGTATGCCTAAAATACGAAAGTGAGATTTTTGACGAAAGTGAGCGAAAGTGGGCGAAAGTGACTTTTAAAATTTGAATTGTACCGTTTTAATAGAATTTCACAGTGAATTTTCTGTTTGTAGACGTATATTATTAGCAACTAATAATATTTCTTTTCAAAAATAATCCCTATGATGATTTAATCGCCATTTATTTGCACAATTTCTATACACAAGTTCTGAGATCTTCCTTTCGCTCACATTGAAGAATACGAAAGTGACTTGTAAAATATGAAATAAAGCATTGTTCAAATTGAAAGTTACGCATAAATTGCATTTTTCAGGCGTATAATATCCAAAATTAATATTATGTATTTTCAAAAATAATCATTATGATGATTTTTACCCCATTTTTTCTACATAATTTCTATATATACAAGTTCAACAATCTTCCTTTCGCTCACATTGAAAATACGAAAGTGACCTCTAAAATATCAAATATAAGGTTTAACTGAAATATAATGTTGAATATCAAATTATTAATTTCTGAAAATATACGTTTACAAACTGCAGTTTAAGGACATTTTCAATTCAAACTCAATATTTGATATTTTACAAGTCACATTCGTATTTTTCAATGTAAACGAAAGGAAGATCGCTGAACTTGTATATAGAAATTAGGCCAATAAATGGCGATTAAATCATGATTATGGTTATTCATTATAATATATATATAATAAGTTGCTAATAATATACATCGACAAACAGCAATTTTACTGTAAAATTCTATTAAAACGATACAATTGAAATTCTAAAAGTCACTTTCGCTCACTTTCGCTCACTTTCGTCGAAAATCTCACTTTCGTATTTTAGGCAAACCCATTCAGTAATATATATAAAAAAAAAATATTCACTTTTTTTTTCATTTTCATTAATTAATAAAAGTTTAACTTTCGTTGCTAATATTTGAATATTTTCAATTGACATAATTGCTGTATGACAAAGAATTCCAGTCTTTGCGGCATAGTAGAAAAAACATGTGTGTGACATGTATATCATTTTGTGGGAAAAATTAATTTACTTCTTGGACCTTACTTATGAAAAGGGCAAAGACCTTTAATAACAATAAATAACAAACACCCACATAGCTCATCTTTAGAAGTAGGCAAAATGCATGTCTAGCTGTACACATTTTATACAAACAATTTCTGTGTTAAATAATAAAGTAAATGTTTAATGTTAATGTATATAATTTTACATTACTATAGAGAAACCCTGTCAAATCTAATAAAAATTTAATAATGACAATGCATAAGCTTTAAGGACAAAGCAGGTAACATGTATCTTAAACACAAAGAGGCATTCATGCAAAATAAATAATACACTTCATGCATAGACTGACACAAAAACAAAACAAATAAACACATATCCATACACTTGAACTCTCGATCTTACTTCAGACTGATGACTCACTTATTTAACAAAAATAAGAAAGCAACTGCTTCTGATTACAATTTCAAAACAAAGTTAATTTAAATCCAACACTCCCTCGATATGAAGTACATTCTCCATCAGTGTGTAAAAAGGTTCACATTTATGTGCATTTCCAATTAGAAATAATAATTAAACAATATAATAACTTTGCACATACAAAAGGATAAAATCAAGCAAAGCAAAACAATAAACTCAAAATCAAAAATTTAAATTGCAAAGCAACATTATTCATGGGTTGAGTGGGCGGGTTTTCTTGAACTTGACTAGTGGTACAAAATTGGCGAGACAATAATCAGAAAATAAACGACCAATCAGAAAACATTTCACCAAAGTCACGGTTTACTCGAAATAATTAATTATTTTAGCTTTAAAATATATCAATTACTAGATCTCAAATTGTTTTCTCTAACTACCATTAACATATTCTTTATATAAGAAGGGCTTTTCTTATAGTACATTTTATGACTGAGGTTAAATTTTAACTGCAAAACTGTATTGCTAACATTTAACATTTTAAGATCAGACAGAACATTAGCTTGCATAGAAGTCTTTTTGGTATAGTTTTAATTTTGTATAATTTTCTAAAGATTTATATTGGGGACAAAAGGGACAAAATAGTATCCGTATACCTTGGACATCATTTACAGTGTATAAATTCACACACAACCTATTTCATATAATTCATTTCAGTTTGAATTGGTGAGATAAGGCAGCAGTAAGTTCTTTTTTAAACCTTTAGTCTGACATTTTCAGTATGCAAACTTATGCATGTTGATTTGTGAAAATTAAATCGTTTGTAAAATCAACTACTAGTATCAAATTATCTCCTTCTTTTATTGTTATATGTATCCGACTTTATTTACTTGACTTGACTTTCTTCTTCCAGTACGTACATAACCCGCTGCTATAATATATAACTACAGACTTTTATTTAGATATAGCC